ATCGAAGGCGTCGAAACTCAAGTGATGGTTGATTTAATCTTTTTAGCCTTTCGCAGTATTGAAGATGCCTCAAGCTGTAAGCCCATTTTGTTGCTTTGCGTTGAACAGATTCAACCAAAGCCATATCAGCCTTTAAATAAGGAGCCCAAACGGACACTCCATATTCAAGATGTGGTCTTATAAATACTTTAATTTGAGAGCCATTTTTTCATCAATGAAAGTGAATGTCTTTTTCAGCATACCGAGAATTTGTAAGGACTTAGAGACAACTGTTTGAATATGAGCGCTCCACTTGAGGTTAGATGTAAGAGTGACTCCTAAATCACGTTCTTTAGTAGAGCTTCTTAGACATTGGTTGATTCTTTGGATATTTTGAAGAAAGTAATTGTAATGGGGGTTGTTTCGACCGTAATGAATGCCGCAGCATTTTGAGGTGTTTAACTTAAGTAACCAAGTGTTTGACCACTCGTATACCAAGCGTAGACGATCCTGCAGATCAACAAAATTAGATTGAGATAAGGTTTTAGAAAAAAGTTTAGTATCATCGGCAAATATCTCAGAAGTTTCAGTGAGTTTTGCAAGATCATTTGTGTAGAGAATAAAGAGGAGCGGGCCGAGAACAGAACCTTGAGGAACACCACTGAGAACATCAGCCCATGCAGAGTTGGTATTGTTAATTGTAACGCGTTGCTTTCAGCCCACTAAAAAGGATTTAATCCTTTGTAGGAGATTGCCGTTTATTCCGAAAGATCTTAATTTTAACAAAAGTCTGTTGTGAGGTACAGAATCAAACGCTTTGGCAAAGTCAAGATAGATTACATCAATAACTTGGTGGGATGCTATGGAGGACGAAATGATATCAAAAGTTTCTATTAGGTTAGTTACGCATGATTTATGATAAAAGAAGCCATGTTGATTTGCAGAGAGCATTTTATTACCGTTAATGTGCTTTAAAATTTTGTTCTTTACAAGTTTTTCGAAGATTTTACAGGCAATAGATGTTAGTGAAATAGGTCTATAGTTTTCAGCAAGTAATTTATCTCCCTTTTTTTTATAGATCGGACTAATATTTGCTAATTTCCATTGACTGGGTACTACTCCAGAATTAAAGGATTCATGAAAGATTTTTGTTAACAGAATTGCAAAGCTTTTGGCACATATCTTGAGTATTAAGGGATGCAGGCCGTCAAATCCGAATGATTAATAAAATCGGCAAGTTCCTGAATAATATCTGGGATAGAGAAATCCAAGTTTTCATTATAAATGCATTAAGAATGAATACCACTTTTATTTAGCAAAGGAAAATTTTCAGAGCTTTCAAGTGTAAACATAGATTCAAATTGAGAGTTCAGAAGATCGACTATATCAGAAAGAGCTTCAATAATTCTGCCAGAAGTATCTTTGAGAGAGCGAATTCGATCTTTAATTTTTAGTTGTTTGTTGATATATTTGTAAACAAGTTTTGGGTTGTTTTGGGATTTTGATATTATTTCTTTTTCATGTGCTTTTTTTGCTTTAAATATTTCAGATTTTACTGAACGATTAAGTCGATTGTATTTTATTTTAAGCTCACTATTCTCCCATTTGGTAGAGCAGTTAATATGTCATGCGGATTTTTTTGCTCGGATCAGGTTTTTAATATGTGGGGTAACCCAAGGATCATACTTTTTTTTTGTTTTATTAATCTTGGGAATAAAGTATGTGCAAGCAGTGCGATAGTTAGAAATTAGTATATTGAACATTTAATCTGCAGTTTTATGCAGACGTAAAAACTCCCAGTCGATTGATGCAATAAAGTTAGATATTGAATCGTAATCACCTTTTTTGTAATTAAACGATTGAGATTCACTTTCGGTGAACAGTTCTGAAACTAAGAATCTCCAAGTGATACTAAAATGACCCTTAGTGTTATTACCTAGTATAGTACTAGGAGACAAGTTTAAAATAGAATTACTGTTGCAGGTAAATAACAAGTCCAACATATTATTTGAGGAACCATAATCAGTCTGGAAAGTAGGAAATGTGATATGTTGTGTAAAAAGGCTGATTTGGAAAATATTCTAGAAATCATACTCGGTAGGATTGTTTGGGTTAAAAGATATAATACCATCTTAGACCACTTTATATTCGGGAGATTAAAGTCACCGACAATCAAACTGTCTTCGTAGGGCTTTTTAATTAAACTATGAGCTAATTTGAAGGATTCAGTGACATATTTTATTAAACTAGCATCATTTAGTCTGTATATACAACCGATAAGTATATGTTTGTTGTTAAATATTACAGATTTTCGTTATCTTTTATACTAATGGTTTGAAAACATTTTAATAAAAGCTAAAGAAAGTGATAAAGATTTAATTTATTTTTAAGTGATTTAGTTTAAACCTTTAAATTGTTTTCAAAAAAGGTATTTGAAATCTAATATATCGAATTTCACGTTCAGTAAATGCCGTTTTGAATCATCCTTAAAACTTTGCAAAGTGCAGTTTAAAACAAAGTTTTGTTTTTTACTAAAGATTGGAAGAAATTTTTTCCAAACTAAAGGTCCCCGATATTGAATTTGTTACGAACTTAATTTAAGAAGGTTTATGGGAACCACTAAGTTATTCACTGAAAATTTGGTTGGATATTTATGGGAGATTTCATTAAAGTAGGATTGAAATGTTACTGGAGAAAACCCAAGTTTTGCTTTAAACATAAATAACGTTACTTGATGAATATTAAGCTTATAAATATTTAAAGCTCCAAGCTGACGTAAGAGAGGTTCGCATTGTGTTTTTCTATTTGCCCTAAATACTATCCTGCAAGCATGTTTTTATTTACTATACATTGTAACCCATTAAGTTCTCAAGTATTAGGCTAAAAGAGGAGGAGCAGCTCTAACTAATTTTAAAAAAGCAACTAAAAGCAGCAGGGGCGAATCCAGACCATCGAGTAAGAGAAGGCGACTTTTCAGCAACCCGACAAAAATATTAGGCAACTAAATTTTATGGGATCATGAAGAAGCATCAAGTATAATTAATAAATTTTATTTATGTCACTATCTGGAAACACATCAGGTCGTAAGGGAGAAAAAAAAAAAAAAAAAAAAAAAAAAAAAAAAATATATATATATATATATATATATATATATATATATATATATATATTAAAGAATTACGAATTTATAAAAGACGCCAAGTATATGTAAATATACAATACATACATTAAATCATTTCACTACATTTTTTTTAGTTAAATTAATTTATTTTGTATACCAGTTTAAAAAATATTTTTGATTCTCGTCAGTGGGCGCATGTTTCGGAATGCTTCTTTCGTAAGAAAAAGTTGCGAAAGTTTTCTTTCGAAATAAATGATTTTGCAAGTCATTCTTGCATAAATTTTAATTTTTTGTTACGTAAGATCATGGAGGTATAAAACAGATGGAAATTTAGGACAAATAATAAACTTCTTCGGGACTATGCTTGTAACCTTTTATTTCGTAAACAAAAAGAAAACGGCGTCAAGACTGTACTTAAACGCCTAATCTTTAGGGTGGAATGCAAGAAGCAAACTCGAGTCAAGTTCGACTTGAACTTTACTTTGTAACCAATAGCGGCAGAGTATTTTTGAGGGGAAAACCTATACTATGTCGCTATTGGTTGCAATGTTAAGTTCAAGTCGAGCTTGACTCAAGTTCGCTTCTTGCATTCCACCCTTACACGTTGACGCAATAAGTACGTTTATAATAATTTAAAAATATAGTATTTTGAAGGCTCGCCAACAATATTCAAATATAAACATTAAAAATGGCGCAACTCCAATTAATAAGAAGTTTATAAACAACTTTTTTTTATAAACTTTTTATTAATTGGAGTACTACAAGAATGAATGGAATGATGATATACAGCTAATAAAACTTTAAACTTTAATAATTTAAAAACATTTTTTTTGATTTTTTAAAAATTGTTTTAACTGTCTTTTCAATCAAATGTTGTTTTATGATTTGAAGCAAGAAAAGAAGCTTAAACTAACATATATTTTTAAAATAAAGTAGTTCTATTTATTTACCGAGTTTTAATAAACCTTTTGTTGAATAATTGCAATTACTACGGTTAAAACTATGCAGCGTATGCCTAGAATAATTCTTTTCTTAATGTTTTAATAAAAATCTTTTCAGTGAATTTTGTTATTTATTGTCCAGTGAAACTTGTTTTTTTTTAATTGTCGGTTACAAGCATACTCCCGAGACGACTTGAAATTGCTTTGATGTTTGCGCCTCGATGAACTTCCATCTGTTTAATACTTTCGTGGTTCGCTTTGGGATTATCCATAAATTACGCAACGCTAAATTAATTTAAAACATAGAAGTAGGAGATAATTTGTTATTATGCGCGGAGAGCTTCGTTGAACTAGAAGTTTCGTTGAACTACTTTAATTTTTGATTTAATTAAAGGCTATGCGAGAGAAAACTTGCGATCTACTTTGTTTATTAAATTTAATGTTACTTGATTTATGTACGATTCCAATAGCAACTTAAAATACGATGCAAGTTTTACCAAACAACCTTAACCTTAAACAACCCAAACAAATTCTATTATGTTTGAATTATTTTTATTTCAGCGCAGTCGAACTATTTCATTTTATTTTAAAGTAAACAAAACTTGATATATCTTTATAAAGCATTTTTGATTTAAAATCAGTCTAACCACTTTAAAAAAATCGATAACTTTCATGAATCTGTCAAAACGTATTTATATAAATATTGTTTAAAAATTTGGCCATATTAGTTATCTTGATGCTCCCGTTCACAAAATCTCACAAAAACGAGAGCCGGACATTATCGTTACCAACGCTAAATTTGAACAAACAAAAAAAAAAATCACAAATTTTCCCTCGAAGAGCATTTAAATAAAGCAAAAGTTTAAACAGCGAATAATCTATTTCAATTTTTTAAAATAAATTTTATATAATAATTTACGAACCATCCCCAAGTATTGTTTTAATAAAATTACAAATGATCAGGAAAAACACGTTTATTTTAGATTTAATCATCATTTTACAGCTGTTTTTGTCTTTTTTGAATAATTGGAAATGGAAGAACTCTCAATATTTATTGTTGCTTCTGGAGTTATCGCTTGAAACGATCGCTTTCCGTTAACTGGCTTTAATAACTGAATTAAAGTTGACGGTTCTGGAAGTAAGCCTAAAAGGAGAAAACTATTCAATAAATCGCTTCCCTAATACTGGCTTTTTATTATTATTAATTTATACATATATTTATTCGCTATTTATACAATGTAACACGATTTTTGACCTGGTCAAGTGTGTTATCTTCTGCTTCCTCATCCCTTTTTTTGTGTTTTTTAAAAAGCTATTACAGTTTTTAGAGTTTAAATGGTATTACTCTCGAGTTCTTAATACAAGAGAGGAGGAAGGGGGCGGGCGGAGGTTTAACTTATTAATTTTTGGAAAAATTTCCTACTTATCTTAAGCTTATTAAGACCCCCACCCCCGCCGTTTATTAATTTTTACTTGTTATCAACAAAAAATTTATATTTTTTGTTGATAACAAGTAAAAATTACAACTTATGAAGATGTGTATATGAAAATTATAACTTATTTAGATGTCCTGAGCTAGAGAAAGATTCAATTTTATTGAGTTGTGCTGAGCCAGAGAATAATGAAATGTAGAGACGCACGAGCCAGGGAAAGATTATATTTTAAGATGTGCTGAACCAGGAAAAGATTATATTTTGAGATGTGTGAACCAGAAAAAGATTAAATGATATTGCAATAATAGTAGAGCTCTTGCAAAAACTGTCAATAAAATGTGCTGCTTATTCATACAGCATGTGATAACTGCATAAATAAGACCTCTCAAACTGTTGTAAAAACATAATATTTCATAGAAATGGCAGTGCTTACTTTGCACGTACACTTTTGAGTTAAAGATTTCACTGCTTGAGTCTGGAAGCCAACAATTCCTCATTAGATTTTATAAGTTCAATCTAATCAGATTATTAAGATCACTTTCAATCAGAAAATTTTTGTTTGTCAAGGTGAAGTTAGCATATTCATCATAGTCAGTCTATTTGGCTACTTTCATAGAAAGATACTGTTTATTTGGCTACTTTCATTGGAAGATACTGTTTATTTGATTCTTGTAAAGAGGTAACTGTGAACTCTAAGTAGTGTGATACTCGAGCAACGGATGTAGGAATGTCTTAATAAAACACTGTTTTTGCGACTAGTGAGAAAAAATGTATACATACCTTCTAAAATACTCTTACAGTTTTTGCATATAAAATATGCTTTTTTTTATTTTATAAAAAAAAAAAAACGCTTTTAAAAATCACCTGCTTTTGTATAATAAAGACAAATTACTTCAGTCAATTTAAAGAAAGGTTATAAATTGAAGTTTTTACAAATAATAAATAAATTTAACTGAATTCAGGTTACATAAAAATAAAATAACTTTAAATTTAGGTATAGTTTTAACATAAAATATTTGATATAATAATTCTTTTAATTCTTATTAACTTAATCTTACTCAAAGATTCACACAAATTAATGTAAAAAAAGCGCGATCAAAATCGAATCTTAATAACATAAAATATTTAATATAAAAAGACAAAATTATAAGAAGTTTTTTAAAGCAATTATTACACCTGTGTATATGATAATGTCAATCAGAATTTAAAATCGTGCATTAGCTGTATCAATGTTTTAAAGCAAAAGCAAATAGTTGTATCAATGTAAGACCCTGCATAACAACATGTAACTTATTACTTATTATTATTGTACTAATTATTGGTGCCAAAAGAGTTTAATAATAGTGCCAAAAAATTTATTAATAATAATTCAATAGTTATTCAACTAATAATTGAATGTTGTAAAATTTACATATTTATACTTAGATGCTGCTTTTAGTTTTATAGTTTTATCATTATATTTTTAATTATTTAATATATTAACACTTCATATATTTTTATTAAGAGGAAAAAATTAAATAAAAATAATACAATAACAGAAAAAAAAGAGAAGTTTATATATTAATTATAAAAATTATCTATTTTTTTAAATTTAATTTTTGTTTTGTCTTATTATTTAGTTTATTTATTAAAAATCTTTTTTAAAACTTACTAAAATCCATTCCAATATGGGAAGAAATTGCCAAGCATAATTCATGGTTAACTTCAGTATAAACATCCTTAAAAAAAAAAAAATTGTCTAGTATATTCACGGTTTAGTATAATTCACAGTTAACTTCAATATAAACATCTTATAATTCATTAAAAATTTTATTTTTACATGAATAAATTTATAACTAAAATACTTGTATTCACAACATATAGCGAACAAAAGTTTCAGCAATTTAAAAAAACAAGGTGTTACACTCTTGTTTGTCTCTAGTAACCTACTTGATACCACGAGATTCTTCCTTAATCGACCTTAGAGTGTAATTAATTGTAAGTGATCAATAAGTGGCTAAAAATTACAAATTGTCATTTTTAAACCAATGGAAATTTAAATAATGTTTTTTACAACAGAATTGTTGCATTTTTATAACGTCATGGTTGCAGCAGTAAACCGCTAGTGCAACAAGCAAAAGGTATGGAGTTCAAATCTCACCTCAGCTTTGATAATATCTAATCTGTTTCAGCATTAACCTTCACACAACGAACAACCTAGGCATGGAATTTAAATATTTACCCCAGAAAAAAAAAATTAAAACTGAAAACTTACACAGAATTTTGTTGAAATACCATGTACTAGTAGATCGTAAAAGCTTAGCTTCAATGGTCTCCTAGTTCATTTAATGTCACTTGCCATGCTTAATTCCAACTAAAGTGGTATATTTAAAACGAGAAGAAAGTATCTCAGCTACAACTCTACAACTCGACAATCTACAGCTAGATTCAGCTATAAAAAAGATAGCTCAACACTTTAACAATATTTTATAATAAAAAAACAAACAAGCCGAGAACTAGAGAAACAAACAATGTTGCTAAGGAGTATTAGGATTTAGATTACAGTAAGAACATTCATGGATCTAGATAAACATATAATGGATCTACATAAACTCATAAATAAATGGTTATAGAATAGCTAAGCTGGACTGTAGAAGACTAGTTAAAAGTTAGAAATAAAACTAATTTTCAAGTTATTTACCACAGAAATAAGAAGAATATACATCAAAAGATTTGCAAATAAAAAAAATTCTGAATGATTAAGCGACCACTACAAAAAGGTGGGTTTTTTTTCTTCATCAAAAGTATAATATGCAGTTATGCAACTGTCACTTGCATCTCACTATAGCTTTTTTTTATATTTAAGTATACATATTTTTAAAATACATCCTAGTTATTTGTAAGACCTTATTTAAAACTAAAAAAAAAACACTTTAAATCTTATCTTTTTGTAGCTTTTATGACTTTGGCCAAACAACCTGGTACCATTTATTTGAAAGTCAAATGTTTCAACTTTCATGTGTCTATATCTACTCATTTGTTAAAAGTTGACAAAAAAAAAAAAAAAAAAATTAAACTTGAATACTTTTGCATTTTCTGTAGCATAACTCTCTCTCTCTCTCTCTCTCTCTCTCACTCTCTCTCTCTCTCTCTCTCTCTCTCTCTCTCTCTCTCTCTCTCTCTCTCTCTCTCTCCCACTATCTAATATCAGTTTCTCTTGTATATATAGGTTTATGGCTAAAGAAATATATTGTAAAATTATATGAATTTTAACTTTTATGAATTTAAGCTTATATGAATTTAACTTATTTGAATTTAAAAAATCAACTTTATTAACTTATATAAATTTAAAAAAATACCTCTACAAGACGAAGCATAACAAATGGCCTACTTGAGTCTTTCAATACAACAGCAATATTGTTTTCTGCTACATAGGTAAAACTTAGTAGAGTACTATGCAACTTTATGACTGAGTGAAATCTGATAAGATCATTATCAACTCGATATATTCTTAACTCTGTTAACCTTGATTACAAATTTTTAGCATTAAAATTTACTTGAGTGAAAATTATCTTTAAAAAATTGAAGAACTCTTTTACCTCTCAGCCATGATAGCTATTTCATTGCTGCATACCTCAAGATGTGAAACAATGCAATCTTTGGGCTAAAAAAAAAAAGATTTAAATTATGTTTAAATGTTTAATTTTTTATGACAACATTAACCTTTCTAGTGGACCTTTTTCAAATTATATATTTTACTCTTAGCCTTTATCTAACATCAACAACATTTTTTAAAACTGAGTGAGAATTCAAAATATTTTAAACCAATGGTATATTATGTAAACTAGATGTCTAACTTGCGAGATTTTATTGGACAAAAAATGAAGCCACTTTATTTTGTTTATAACAATAGTCCGTCATTTGTAAAAAGGGCAAAAACTAAAGCCGAAGTGTGGAATAAAAGTTAAAAATGCAAGTCAAAAGTTCCCAATAAATTAAAGATAATTCAAAAACATATGAGTATGTTTGTTAAAAAGTATTTTGATTTATAAAAATGCTTCAAAAACATCTATCGTTTTAATTTTCTATTCAAAACTTTAATCCCTTTTTAATCGAAAATAAATTAAGGAATCATAATTTATTATTTTACAAGTATTTTAATTTCTGCTTAACACTTTTAAATAAAAAGTATTTAAATTTACAGGGTTTCCCACTTCATTTCAACAACGTATCATTCAATTTCGACATTGTTTCATTCAATTTCGACACCGTTGCATTTGATTTTGACTGTTTTGCATTCAATTTCGACAGCGCTAATAATACTTAAATTAATATAGTTAGATTTTTTCTAAATTCATTTAGATAATATAATTTTTTAGATTGGATACAAACTAAAAAATCTAAACAAAAAAATTATCGTATATAAAGTATTGCAATTGCAAATACTCGATAATAAAAATAAAAATTACAAAAATAAGTTTATTCTTCAATAACTGGTTCTCTTCTTGAACACGGAATCATATACCTTAGTACATGCACAAAATAATTATTACAGTTTGTGCTAGTAATATTCCATGCACCGTTTTGTATATTTTCAAGCATTTCCTCCTCAGTCCTAGACGAATATCTTCTGATAAACTGTTTCCATTCAGAAAACATATTTTCAATAGGGTTTATAAAGAAGGAATATGGAGGTAAAAATATCAAAGAATGCCCAGCACGTACTATTTCATTATGAACAACAGCAGTTTTATGAAACTGAACATTGTCTAAAAATAAGATAGCTCCAACAACTTCATTAACAGCTAATTGTGCTAATACTAAACGAATAAAATCTAAAATGCTCTTGTTTGTGCTTCATATTTCAAAATTCCGTTTTTGTTCATTGCACAACAGACGAAAATATTTCTTGACCGTATATTAGTCACTATTTGTGTGGCCCTGTTTCCAGCTAAAGAACGTCCTCTTCTAACTCACATTGAAAGACTAAATCCTACTTCATCAATAAAGAATATGTTATTGTCATTCATAGAAGACAAAATGTTCATGAATCTTTATGCATAAGAAGCTCTTTCGTTAATAACGTCTTCCGAATTTCTTCTCTCTGGAATATTGTGAACACGTTTCAAAGTATAATTAAAACTATCAATGCATCTTGCTATAGTAGATTGACTGACTGAAATGGATTTTTGTTCAAAAAGTCTTTGTTTAATTTCCTTAAGAGTTATTCCGCAATTATCATCAATCCAATTTTTGATTAGTACCTTGGATTTTTCTGTTAATTTTTTGTTTTTAGAACCACCTTTTAATTGCCGTTCTATCGGCAAACCAGTTTTATATTTTTTAATAATCAAATAGATTGTAGTTCGTTTAAATCCAAGAACATTTGCAATTTCTGATGGTGAGTTTCCATTTAAGTAAGATTCAATTATCCTTGAACGGTTTTCATTGATGATTGTTTGATTCGGTATTGCTGTTTATAAATATGATATTTAAGCTTTTATTATGATTTCTTGTTGTATGGAATAGACAAATGCTTTTATTTACTTAATAAAAAATTATAACATTAATTTGTAGTTTGATGACAATTTAATTATGTATTGTTGGGATATTTTCCAAAGCGTAGATATTTTTTTTGGCAATTAGACATAATTTATCCGGTCAATAAAAATAATGAATATAGCAATTAAAAACAACTATTATGGTAACTTGAAATAATTAATATCCACATTGTTTATTTTACCAATATATTTTACGTATATCCAAAAAAATACTGAAACCATATTCATGAAGTAAGTACCCACTTTAAATAATGCAGAATTAAAAAAATAGCCATATTAATTATTTTATTGTCCCGATTAAATTCAACCCGTTATTATTTAACAAAAATTTTCATCATAAATATAAATACTTTAATTCAAAATAGAGTGTTTATAAATTGTCGAAATGTGGTGCAACAGTGTCGAAATGTGGTGCAACTGTTGAAATTGAATGCAAAAGTGTCAAAATGTAGTGATAGAATGTCAAAATTGAATGCAAAAGTGTCGAAATGTAGTGATACAATGTCGAAATGAGGTGAGAAACCCTGTAAAATATATTTACTTCGCTTAAGAACAGATAAGTTAAAAATATTTGTTTACAAATTTAATCCGCCATTTGTAAAAAGGGCAAAAAGCGGCTTCACTTTTTGGATCGAAGTTAGACACCTAGTTTATATAATATATCATTGTTTTAAACCTTTCACATATCTCTCTCTATTCATATTTTATTGACTTTTGAAAATCAACTTGCACCTAGATTTATAAATTCACCATTTATATAAAAATAGGTATTATGCCGAAAAATGCAACTATTTTGAATAATTTTTAGGGTTCACGCCAGCCTGATTTTGGGAAAAATATGTTGGATGTTTTAAATGACAGGCAGGGTCCATAAAAATTTATTCTTTAAACTTTTTATTCTTTTAAATGTTATATATTGTATTGAGTATTAATTACAGAAATAGAACATGTTGTTAAAATTAGTCTAAATAAGAAATTAGATCTTCAGGATCTTCAGAATCTGATGAAAAAGCACAATTTTTGCTCACAAAATGTTTCATGATTCATTGACATATGAAAAGCATTTTGAATTTCCTAATTAACTGTTTCCAGATATGGAGCAAACATAAATCTGGATAGATTTTATAATAGTGTAATTAGGGAATAAAAAATTTAGATATTGAACATAAAATGTGCATGAGATATGCATAAAATTGAAAAACATTTTCAGGACATAAGTGCATAATTCTTCTCTAGAAAAAATGTTTAATGAGAACTATCAGCAAAATTTTGATGGCTTCTAAGAGTGTGTTAGCAATAAATTGACTTCTAAGGAGTGTGTTAGCAATAAATTGGCTTCTAAGAGTGTGTTAGCAATAAATTGACTTTTAAGAATGTGTTAGCAATAAATTGGCCATATTTTAGCAATAGATTATTCATATTTTACAAACTTTAAAGAGTCAAATATACTTTTAAACATACTTATAGTATCTTCCCAGTTAATTTGGAACTGTTTTAACAGTTAAAAAAAAATTTTTTTTTATAAAAATGTTTCTTTTCTTTATTTTCTGACTTATACGTCTTTATTTCTAAAGGTCATAAGGCAACATGTTTTTGGTCCTTCCCTTTTGTGACTGAAAAACTTGTTTGTTTTTTATATACTGTACCATATCTATTTTATAATTTTCTTTTGTTTCTGATCCTAGTCAGTGTTCAGTTTCTCCGCATTCACCCTTAAGTGCTTTTGATCACAGTTTGATCTCTCAAAAACTATCATTTCATTCTTCTTCATTATTAGATTTTCCTTGTGATGGCGTTTGGGTAAAAATCTTTTATCTTCTTGCTAACAAATGTGCTTCTTACATAACTTCTTGGATTCAGGCTGGCTTGAAACTTTTTATTCCTTCACGACAAATCTAAGTCAAACCTCACATTTCTCTATGGTTTTCCTCTCATTGTGCTGCAGCAATTTCCAATCGTAACCATCACTTTCATATCTATCAGCAAAACAATTCTTCAAAAATAGGCTTCTGTTTACTATTGCTAGAAACCATTGTAAAAAGGTGTCAAACTCCAAAGCCTGCTATTCTCAGATCATGAAATCTTGTGTTTTATCTCAAAAATTAGGCTCTTGTGACTTCTGGAGAATCTCTAACAATACCTATAATAAGGGCAAATCTGTTATCCCACCAATGGGTTTGCAGTTTCTTGCATTAGATGGATGTGGAGAGATTAATGTTATTGCTCTCAATATTTCTAAAGCTTTTAATAAAGTTTAGCATGCTGGTCTTATCCATAAGCTTTCTTCTTACAGTGTATCAGGAAACATCTTTAAGATTATTGAATTCTCCCTTACTAATTGTAGTATAAAAGTTGTCCTCAATGGACAACACTCTTTTTCATATCCTATAACTTCAGGGGTTCCTCAAGGTTTTATTCTTGGCTCAATACTCTTTTTAATTAACATTAACGATCTTCCAGATATTCTCATATCTAAAGTGGGATTGTTTGCTGATGATACTTCTGTTTACTATTGCTAGAAACAATTATATATATTTATATGAATTATACTTTTACTAATATATTTTTACTAATATATTTAATAATACTATTATACTTTTATGAATTATACTTTGAATTATACTATGAATTATACTATGAATTATACTTTTACTAATATACTTTTACTAATATATTTAATAATACTTTTGCTAGAAACATTATATACATTTTATATGAATACTAGAATGATACTAACATTTATTTTTGTCTTGATAAGAAGCCAACACTTTCTGATTGCTTGGAGTGGGGATTTGAGCTTGAAAAGGATCTCACTTCTACTAGAGCATGGGGCTCTCACTAGCTGGTAAACTTTAACTCAGATAAAACTCAATTTTTTTCAGGTAATTGTTATCGCAATAATCTAGATCTTCCTATATTTATGAATGTACGTGATGAGTCATCTACCCTTTGTCTCCCAGGATTAATTCTTAATTCTGAATATCTGAAGCGAATCTATTAATGATGCCCTTTTTCTTTCAGACAAGATGCAAAAATACATTATAAACACAGTCGGACCTACTCTTGCAGCCAATCTTCAACCGTTATCACATTGTAATAATGTTGCTTCTCTTTTTTTTTCTATAATTACTATGATGGTCACTGCTCTAGCATCTTTTACGCCATCTACTAAAATTCATTCTTGTGTTACTCGTTGTTCAACTAAGTCTCACCTTTTTACTGTGACTGCTCCTAAGTGCTCCAAAAATTCTTATTCGTCTAGTTTTTTTCCTAGAACATCGTCTGTTAATTGTTATCTTGCTCTATAAACTTCATTTTTTCTCTTCCAATAACTTCCAACTCTAGTAGTGGTTGCTTGCAGCCTTGTTGGAAGTGTAGATGTTGCAACAATAAAAAAAAAATAAAAAAATTCACAACATATTTTTTGTGGTTAATATTCTACCTAATATATACCAGTTTAAAAAAATCAAAGTTAATGAGTACGTATAAACAGCCTAACTCTATAATAGATAAACATTTTTATTATAACAAATTGTTATTAGTCTAGTAATATAAGCCTTTAACAAACCCAAATTTAAAAGTATAAGTGTAAGAAAAAAAATTATTTAAAAATTTTAGCATCAGAAAGAATATCAAATTAAACGAAAGAGAAGTGAAACACAATGACTAAACTAAATCACTAATACAAGTTAGCTAATATAAAATTAATACTAATAAGGTATTATAACATTTAAAAAATTTAATTACATAAAACTTATTACTTAAAATATATTACTTACAAGTTGAACACTCTCAGATAGTTGTATTCCTTTCTTAAAATCCCAGAGCCGCAAAGTTAAATCAGAAGACACAGAAACCAACCGATCAGTTGAAATAAGTGATATGCAAGAAACCATCCTATAATTGTTTTTAAATCTAAAATAACTTTTTAAACTCGACTAAATTAAAAAAAACAACAGCATAAAAACAAATTATGTTTTTTTTAATTTTTTATTCTTTTTAATTTATCTCAACTCTAAACTCCTACAAAACTGTTAGACATTTTGTTAAACAAGACAGCTCTGCAGAGAAACAGATTAAGCATGATACTTAAGTGGGTTTGATTTTGTTTAATTGAAGGGTGGATTTGAACCTGCAACCTCTTGATTGTTGGTCAAATCAAATGTTGCAAAATAATGAAAAATAGGAAGAAGCAAATATTGAAGAAATATTATCAAAGAAAGCAAATAAAAATCTTTATCAAATTAGATAGCAACAGCCTGTTTTGTTTATTTGTCAAAACATCTAGAAAAAAATTTGTGGGGGTCGAGGAAGGTACTCTTTGGCAACTATTTTTTGTGTGCAAAAAATTATTTTAACAAGTCAGTAAAGTTGTAATTCTTGTAATTCTATCAAAATTCAAAGCATTATTGTGAGGCTTGTGAACTTACTAAACTTATTAAGTTAAGTTTTTATATTTCATGTTTTAATTCCTTTATTTATTTTTTAAACAATTTAAAAATAGAACACCTGAAGATTCCATGAATCCTGATAATTTTTGCTATTTTGTACATAAATTTTTCTGATTTTTATATTTTGATTTATATTTCGTTTTTTTTACTTTACTATGCAACGCTTGAAGTAATAGTTTACTATTATTTCAAACGTTGCAACTTTATACATTTGACACAATCAAACCAAACAGTTCCCATTCTCATTTATATTTAGGTAACAACACAAATTAAAGACAACTGAGTACCATCAACAGAAATCAAAATTAGGACAAAAATTAGTTGACTCAATTTTAATAACTTAATCATAATTTTAATTAATAATTTCTAAATGTTACAAATTAAATTTGTTTTATAATTTCTATAAATATATTATTTATATTTAATATTTCTTATATCCAATAATATTTATAAATAAAATAAACTTTGAGTTAAAACTGGATTTTTTGGAAAGATTTTAGGTGTTGATCACTAAGAAACCTCCTTTGTAGTGAGCCATGAAACATGTCATTATATTTATATATTAATCTACTCAAACAAAATAAAAAAAGGAAGAAAAAAAGAAATTTTATGATCAGTTTTGCAATATATTTAAAAATATATAAAAATTGGTATTTTATCCAAAAAACTAACAAAAAAACAAAACAAACAAAAACAAACAAAACAAACAAAAAAAACAACAAACAACTACATTATTGCCAAATATAATAGTTTTAGTAGTAGTTTTAGTAATAGTAGTTCGTGTTTAATAAGGAATTCTTGGCAGCCATTGTAAGGCTGCCAAGAGTTCCTTATCAAACACATTAGGAAATCTTGGCAACCAAGGTAGTGGCAACAAAGAACCACAACACTTTTTGTTATATGAAAATTGAAAAAAAGTGTAAGCAATTATCTAACTTACGTAAACTTCAAATTATGTAATGTTTAAACATACATATATCAGGTTTTAAAGTTTTACTTTCACTTGAAAATTGCATAGATTGTAAATCTACTTAATTTTGATCTATAGCATTTATTTCCGTTTTATAAAGTCTTGTATTTACTACTTTAAAAATTTTCATTAATCAAAATGCCAGAGTGGCCGAGTGGTTATCTCGCAGAACTTCTGAACGAAAAAGCTATGGTTAAAATCCCACCACTGCCAGCATTTTTTTGTAAGTCTTTTGCGATTTTCTAAAATAACAAATAAAACACTTTTGAAGTTTTATAGATATTACATACATAACATATGTAAAGATATTATACAAATGAAAGGATTTTTTAAAAAGCTAATAACTCTAAAAATCTATGTCATGATTAAGATACTTATGCTATTAATGTGCTTAGGTAATTAGTCCTAATAAGCTGTGGATGGTCTGAAAAAAAATTATGGTCTGAAACTTATTAAAGAAAAAATTTAATAAGATAGATCTGCTACTCCTGTGCTGCTGTTAATGCAAAAAAAAAAAAAAAAAAGAAAAAAAAAACAGTACACACCTCCTCAAAACAGTGTTTATGTTTTAAAAAAGTACACATGTCCAAATTAAGTTTTTCTAGCAAGCTATGATTATAGAGTACACAAAAAAGTATTTCACAAAATTTGAAAATATGTCCTGAAAAAAAAAGTGCTTTTTGTTATATAAAAAAAAGTGTGTTTTTCTCTTATTAGAAAAACAACCAGTTTAGAATGAAGTTCATAGAAGAACTTATTTAAGTCATAGGCTAGTAGCTAATAAGGTAATTCTTTAATAAATACCATTATTTAAAATAACATTTATGTTTCATATCAATAAGTTAAAGAACCCTATCAAATTCAATAAAAACATATTTTAATTTGAACATATTGTTAGCTGATATAGACTGAACATGATTAAGCCTCAAATTCTCTCTGGATTGTATAAAAGTACAACATGTGAGATTGTTTTTGTATACTTCTTTATGGAAATCACTTGGAAGTTTGTATCTGGAAAACTCACTGAATCTCAAGTGAATAGTTCATCCAGCCCGTGCTGTAAATTTCCAGTCCAGATCCATTATTTCTACAAAACTCCTTTACATGGCAAAATAATATATGCAATTTGATACTCTTTGTTTTGATTTCCTAAGTAATAAAAATATCAATAAAATCATCTATCCTATTTTTAAAATCCATACTGAGTATCTTGCTAAAACATAAATAAGTCATAGTATCAAATGAATCAAAGGCATAAAAAAATCCCCTAAGATTTTCAGGAAGAGCATCTCTAAGCTTATTTGTTAATCTCATCAATTTCTTACAATGGTTTCTTTCAAACTCTCCACCATAAAGATTTTGTCTGACAAGGGAATTCCTTTCTAGGAAGAATTCAAATTTTTATTGTCCCTATCTTGTTGATATGTTATTCCACAATAAATTAATTGTTCCTGTATAGAGATAAAGTTCGAGTATATTGCATACTTACATAACTTCAGTTTCAGCATCTCCTGGCTGTGGTTTATTCTTGCAATTATAAAATTCAGTGATGTGTAAAAACTGCATTGTTATTTCCAAACAAGATTTTGCTGATTGATCCAAAGGTTCGTTTTTTCCAGTAGAGTTAAGCTAATCAACACAATCAGTACTCTTATTACAGAAGCAAGAACGATACTTTAAACTATGGTTTTGAATCCTAAAATCAATTTAATTAGTTTCAAATCCATCCAAATGTCTGATCAATAAATGCTTTTTTCAGGTTAGGAAAAATGCCCCAGAATAGTTTGATCTCTTGATGATATCATCACTGAAGTAACTTGGCACATCAACAGTACCAATTCCAAGCTTAAAGAAATCTACACTGCCTTCAACAAATACTTTCACCTTAACATTAAAAATGTCTTATTTTCTTTTTCAATCATTTTCCAGGCAAGTTCCTCCGCATCTTTAACAAGAACAACACGTTAATTTAAAGAAATTTAAAGAAATCAAGGTCTACTGCTGAGAAGAACTCCACTAAAGACCCATTGTTATATACCATAAATTCTTTAAATCCAGCTTTTATTGACATTTGTCCATGCTTAACCCGAATTGCTTTTGATATTGCATCCATATCAGAACCAGGCAACGTTCTATCAACCTTAATGGTCATCTAATCTTTGTGACACCATTCTGCAGTAGGCTTCATTGATTTTTTTCAAACTATAAAAGATCGCCCTCATGTTTAAAGGGATATAAATTCTGATTCTTCAAACTTTTCTCTAACTTGATCTGCAGCTAATTTTTCTCCTGCTTCTTGATTCAAGGAGTTTCAATCATCTGACGAAGGTTTGTCGAACTAAAAACTTTATACAAGTATGACCAAAAACCTTTGTACTCCCAATAAATCAATAGATTGAAAGCACTGATTACATATAGTTATGGACATTTTTTTTGGATGTTTTTTCTAAAACTCTTGGTCTACCTTCAGGTTTAGTTCTTTTTGTTTTTTACTACTTTGCATTACAAAGTAGTAAAATCAACAAAACCTTCAGGTTTTGTTGATTTTACTACTTTGCATATAGTACAATCACAGAGACTTTTACTTCTGGTTAGGACAGAGAGAACTACACCTGATGCTGCAAGTGGATGTATATGAAGGGAATGAGGAGTAGTTCCAACATATGGTTTTCCATATAGAAATAATACTCTATTGCAGGTTTTGTATATTCCAGTTGCAAAGGATAGATTATCAATGTTATAGTTTGGTAAAACCAATGTTTTCATGAGTATCAAAGCTTTTACTGAAAGTGTTCTGTCTGCTTTTCGATAGCATATGCAGCAGCACTTATTATGAGCATCAAAGTGTGTTAATGCAAAATTTTTAAGGAACCATAAATAAGAGAGAAAGCATTAAAATTTTTTTCTTGATTGCTTTGGGACACCCTAAGTTGAAATTATATTAATTTATTTAATTATATTAATTTATTTAATTATATTAATTTCCAATAAGAGTGCTCAATATAGTTTGTTATATAATAGACAGAGCAAATATTATATTATGCTATTTAACATTTTGATATCAATATGGCTAATTTCAACAGAGCCAATTTATGTGAATTGATTTGTCTCTTATATACTACTACCAGTCAATAAAAAGATAATGGTTTTTGCTGCTATTACAATATTAGTAGCCCTCAATTAGAAAAAAAAAAGAAAAATCTAATTAAATTTTTTACAACAAATTTAATTTTAACATTACTATCAGATCGAATTTAAAAACTATATTACAGAAAAGTTAAGTGATGTCTCACTTAACCTTTCTGATAACTCTTTTTAACCTTATAGAAACCAGGAGATAATCTGTTATATATTAACATCAATTCCAATCATCCATCAAACATTAAATAAATACTAAAAATGATCTCTAAATGCATCAGAAATTTTCAAGTAGAGAAGCTTTTGACAGAGCTGCACTATTTTATAATAATACTGTC